GAAATGGCTCAGTGGTCTGGAGCACCTACTTAGAACAAGCTAAGCTAAGCAAAACACAGGGACCACGGTTCAATCCACATGCCAGCCAGCCCTGCCCCCTGGTGGGCTGAGCTGGCCACACACAAAATAAATAAATATTTTTTTTTAAAAAGTTAAAAAAAAAAAGAACCAAGGATGTGGCTTTGGCTTCCCAGAATTAGGGAGAAGCTGGTTCCTAATGGATTACAACAGCCACTATTTGGTATGGCCAAGATAAGGTGAACAGTGAGATGACAGCCAGAGCCTCCTTTGCCAAGGACAAAGCCTGAGTGATTAGGAGTCACACAGCCCCATGCTCGTAAGGCGCTGGCCAATATTGGCTTTGTGTACCTACCCGCACTTCTGCTCTCCCTGTCCTCTCTGAACCTTCCCAGCCAGGGTCAACATTCTAGGTGAGGTCAGGCCCAGGCCCTAGGGCTGTAATGCTGTAATTGTGTGTGTGTGTGTGTGTGTGTGTGTGTGTGTGTGTGTATGTGTTACTGGAGAATTGAACCTGGGGCTTGAGCAATATCCTCAACCCTTTTTTTTTTTTTTTTTTACTTTATTTTGAGAAACAGTCTTGCTAAGTTGCCTAGGTAGGGATCAAATTTGTAGTCTTTCTGCCTCAGCCTCCTATAGTACTGGGATTATGGGCATGCACCACCACACCCAGTTTAGTTATTTCATTTTAAAAGTTTTAAAACCTGGGTTGGGGAGATAGCTCAGTAGAAGGCCTGAGTTCGATCCCCAGTTCTGCCAAAAAATAAAAAATAAAAATAAAAATAAATAAATAAAAGTTTTAAAACCCTTCACCTATATGGGTGTGGTAGGCCTGTAATCCCAGCACTGGGAGATGAGGCAAACAAATTTGAGTCCAGCCTGGTCTACATAATGAGTTCAAGGCCAGCCTGAACTATATTGAGACTTTCTCAAAAACAACTAAAAAAGACTAACAAAACCTAACTAAATCAGTCAATCAATCAAACTGGAAGGGGCCTGAAGATGTAGCTCACTGGTGGAGCGCTTGCTTAGCATGCTTAAGTCCTGGGTTCCATCCCCAGTGCCACAAATAACTAAATAGATTGGTCTGCCTGCCTTGGGAGCTTCAAGGGGAGTCACAGAGTAACTCCATGAGGTCAGTTGAGCAGGGCATTTGAGACATTTTACATACATTGTCTTCTTCCATCCAAAGTATAACCAGCCCTCTGAGGCTTGGTGTGGGCCATTTTAGGGTTGGAAAAACTGAGGTTCAGAGAAGTTGAATGACAAGTGTTCAGCCACACTACCGGGAAGAACTAGAATTTGAATTCAGATCTAGCTGGAAAACCAGAATTCTTCCTCCTCCCAAATTAGTGTTAGAATTTGGGATGGGAAGAGGGCACAAGCAGCTAAACAGATATGATGATGCCCTAATAGCTATTTTCTTTTGTTTCTACAGCTATGGAGCCAAAATCCGGGCCCCTCATGCTCTGGTCATGACCTTTCTCTTCAGGAGCGGCAGGTACCCACTCACACCAGAAGAGAACGTGGTCACCCTTCCATGCCAGATGGTTGAAGTAGCGTCTAGCCTATCCTCTCCCCCCCACCTCCTGAAGCCCAGCTCTGACCCTGTGCCCTGCGTGGAGATGCCCCAGCTTCCTTCTGTCCTCCAGAAAAGCCCACCTTCCAGTCAGGGCCTTCTACGGCCTGCTGCACTCTCCCCGCTGTGTTGACACTGTTAGAGTAGTTCTGTGTCAGAACTCACTGGCGGTCCATGCCCAGGCCTCATGTGGTTCCGCCTCTCACATCTGCTTGTGCTGCATCCTTTCAGAGATGCCCTTGCGTCTCCCACCACCATCCACTTCCTCGCAGCCCACAGCAGTTCTCTGTGGGTCACTGTTCTCGCCTTTGCTCGCCTGGCTTGGCCTTCCTGTGTCTCCAGTAACTTCCCTCACAGCCCTCCTCAAACAGCATCTTAGGATCCAGTTTTTATGTACACAGACTTACCTGGATCCTAACAGGGTCACACACCACAGCCTACTGTCAAGTCTAATTTGCTAGATTTTCTACTTTTGTATTTTTGTTTTATTTCTTTTTGTCTTAGAGATTTTTTACCCTTTGGACTTTGTTTTTCTTTTTTGTAGTACTGGGCTAGAACCTATGGCCTTTGTCCTGAATTATATCTTCAGCTCTTTTTTATTTTTTTTTTTTGTAATGTTTTTGGCCAGCTCAGCCTGCCCTGAGGGTGGGGCTGGCACAGCATGTGGTGCCAGGGATTGACCTGTGGTCCCCTATGCCTGCCTAAGCTTGCCTAAGCAGGCACTTTCAACCACTGATCTGTCTCATCAGCCCAGCTTTTTTAAAATTTTCAGATAGGATCTTGACAAGTTGTCCAGGGTGGGCTTGAATTTGCAATCTTCTCACTCAGCTTCCCAGAGTGCTTGAATTACATGCTGGCACCACCACACCCAGTCTGAACCTTTAAAAAAAAACAATAACAACAACAACAAAAAAACAAACAAACGGGGGCTGGGGAGATGGCTCAGTGGAATAAGCGCTTCCCTGGCAAGCGCAAGGGTCTGAGTTCAATCCCTGGTTCTGCCAAAAATAAAACAACAAAAAACCCTGAGTTTTTTCAGCCAGTCAACAAATATTTTTTGAACAGTGTCGACTATGTGCCATAGTATTTATGTGCTAGAGATACAGCAGTGGACAAAACAGATTGATTCAGGCAGGGTGGCTCATGCCTGTACTCCCTGTTCTGGAAGGCTGAGGCAAGAGGATCACAAGTTTGAACCCAGATTGGGCAATTTAGTGAGATCTATCTCAAAACATCAGCTCAGTGAGACATACAGCTCAGTGAGAAAGCCCTGGGTTCAATACCTATCACTAAATTTTTTTTTTTTTTAATGTTGGTCTTTTTTTTTTTCTT